AAGAGGTTAAACAATGGCATGAGGTGCAACTCTGTGTATGTTTGGACAGAATATCTTGAATGTTTCTGTGTTTAGAGAACCACTGGAATCCTTGCATGCTGGGAGTAGTGACATTGGGTTACTCTGGAGATTTTATATTTGTAGCTCTGGAAACTAAATGTCTCACGATTGCCTAAAGAACCTCACAGACGCAAGCCAAATGGATCCAGTCAATGAAGATAATTTTGGTTAGAATGTAAATGGCAGTGTGGATTTAAAATAAGATTTCCATACGAGACGCTTTCTAAGCAATGGTTCTTGCTCAGATTTTTTTTTTTAATTGCTCCTTCATTTTAAACAGCAAAATGCTTTAAGAGGTCTTGTAGTGGCCAGATGTAGGTTTTTGGCACGAATTTCTGCTCTGTCTTTTCCTCCCGTGGGCTTTCTTTGGCAGGAGGCTCACTCCTGAGCTGTGGGCTGTGTGCCCTGGAGCAAGGCAAGCGAGCCAGCCTGCTGTGCTGGCCCTTGTTGGCTGGCACGGGCTTATGGGTGTCCTTGGGGAAGTGACTGCTACCAGATATGCAGATCCAAGTTACATGGATACTTTGCTTCTCTCTTTGGGAATAATTTCTTGCACTGTTTATGAAACTGTCCTTTTCCTTTTCCTCCAGAACTGGAGCCAAGAAGCAACTTAATCTCTTAGAAAAGGGCAAAGGGTCTTCTCCTTCAGTGCCAAAGGGATTCCCATAGAATAAAATAATACAGTTTCTATTGATTTGATTGTTAGCAAATCTTTTACCACACGCCAGCAGGAATGACATTCTCCTGCTTCAGGCCCAGCTGCTACTACCTAGCTGGACAGAACAGCATGCCTGGGGTCCTGAAAATGGCAGTGAGCAATGGTCTCCTTTCACTCTTTTGCCTGTTGTGGTTTTTTTTGGACAGCATTTGACTGCTCTTACTGCTGCAGTTCTCATGGAACTCCTCACGGCTTCTGTGAATCAACAGGGAGCTCCTGGACTTACTTAAGCTCAAAAAGAAAGTCTGTAGGGAGTGGAATCAGGAACAGGTTACCAGGGATGGCTACAGAGAAGTTGTCCCAGTAGGGATCTAGGTTGGGAAAGCTAAAACCCAGACAGAATTAAATCTAGCCAGGGACACACAGAGGAACAAGAAGGAAATCTACAGGGCAAGTAGCAACAGGACGAGGAAATGGGTTTAAACTGGTAGATTTAGACTAGATATGAGGAAGAAATTGTTTACTGTGAGGATGGTGAGACAGTGGAACAGGTTGTCCAGTGAGGTTGTGGATGCCTCCTCTCTGGAAGCGTTCAAGGCCAGGCTGGATGGGGCTGTGAGCAATCTGGTCTGTGGGAGGTGCCCCTGCCTATAGCAGGGGTTTGGAACTAGCTGGTCTTACAGGTCCTTTCCAACCCAAACCATTCTACGATTCTATGATTTATTACCTTAGTCCAACCTCATGCCTTATATTAAGGTTGAAAACTGCCTTCTAGAAAGGTCTCTGCAAGTGAGAGAAAACTGGGTCCTGTTTCCTGAAAATATAAGTGATTTCTGGATGGTATCACGTGGCAAGGCCTACATTTGAGAATACTATGAATTAGCAAACACAAAGTGCAGCAGAGACTTCCAAAAGTTGTGCCTGTAAGTTGTAGGAAAAAAAATTGAACACAACTGATTTATCTGCATACTTCTGGGAAATGGTACTGGACCAAGTGTTTCCACTCCAATTTTCAGTGTGCTACGGCTATATGGTATGGAGCTGAGGTTTGGGACCCTGTTAGCAACAGCAGGCCTTTACAGTCAATGATATCCAGTACTTGGCTTTAAAAAGATCCCTCTGAGCTCATTGGTAGCACTGAAAGAGCATCTGAGGTCTTGAACTCTGCCTTTAGAGAGAGCTATTGAGGTGTATCTTAGGAGGGATGATGTGTGTGCTGCCTGGTGTATTTGTATAGACAAGCAAAGGATGGCAGGTGTGCTCTAGACAGCATGCACTACAAGTGAAATTGGTTTTATCTGTATCAGAATATAAGAATTAAAGCAACAGGTTGCTGAGAAAGCTAGATTTTTTTCCTACTCTTCTTTGCTGCCTTGGGTCTCTTAACCAATCTGAGTTAATTTCTCTGATATGCTCTGGGCATAGCGTGTCTTCCTGGTGATATCCTGGTGTACTGTACTGCTTAGCAACTCAAGTGCCTGCTTGCTCTGCTTATTCACTTATTTTCATATCTGTTCCCAGTGCATGCAGTGAAAGGAGATGCTTGTTTCTGAGAAAGGAAGCAACTTACTGTGTGATGGGGGTGTTCTTTCTCTCTCTGTAGGAGGAAGAGGAGGGCTCTGAGGAGGACAGCAATGTGAAACCAGACTTCACAATCACTATGAAAACAGATTTCAACGTGCGTAGCTTCTTGGATCAACTAGAAGATGATGCCGACGGCTTTGTTTCCCCGGTGGATGATAAGATACCATCAAGGAGCAACCAGGATATGGGGCTTTCAAATCTCCATGAAGCATCCATGTATGTTGTCCAAATTTTTTTGCACTTCATTTTGAAATGAAATAGATCCCTACATGGAAGGGTTTGGGAGAAAACCACCCTTTCCTCATAGTGATGTCTGACTTTTATAATCTTTGGAATCTTGGGCTAAACAGTACCTCTACTTCAGCTACTATCGTTGCTGAAGCTTTTATCGTTTAAACAACCCCTGTGCTCCACAAGGCATTCCTATTTTTGGAGACATCAAGCTGAACTCCTTTTTCTCGTTCTAAGCACCTAGATGCATACACACTTAGATGGTAGCCCTAATGCATGGCTGTCAAACCTCAATCCCATAGAAGTCACCAAAATCAGATCTACCTTCAGCAAGTAATTTTCACTGAAGTTAGTGATGAATTGAGACATGCACACTTGACTTAAGCCTACGTTCTGTCATTTTCTTGAAGTAAATTCAGAGACCTTTTTACTGCAATTAACACCAGATTCCCAGGGCTGCTTATGGAGCAGCTCAGTTACTTGGCATCCACACGACTCCAAAATTGCACATTTACTGTATGTTTCCAGTTATAATTGTGTTCGTAAATATAATCGTGTCTGTATTTAAACACAACAGGCCTGAACTGTTAGAGCAGCTGCAAGAAGTCAGGGAAGAGAAAAAGCGGATCAGAAAAAAACTGAGAGACTTTGAAGATAATTTTTTCCGACAAAATGGGAGGTAATTTCTCAGCTATTCCTCTATCTTTCAGCTGTTCTTAATCAATGTGGCATCTACAAAGGCCTCCAATTATGGAAAGTTACCTGAATTCACTACTGTATATTTTGTTGCCATCATGATTTATTTACTCACGTTAGATACAGTTGCCCATTAAAATGAATGGCCTTTTTTCTTTTTCCCAAACATCTTTAGGGCCCACAACCCCTTAGATAACTTTGAAAAGCAGTGTAAGTACAGAAAATCCAGTTGCATCTAGCAAAATTAGTAAGAATGGTGGAATATTTCCGTAGGGATAGAAGAATTGGTCTTTCTCCCCAGCGACATTGTATGCTTCTCTGTCCTGATCTTGCATGCCTGTGACATGAGCTTAACAAGTACTTTGCTGGAGTATAGCTGGGTATGTAAGAATCAGAAAAAGCTCCTCATATTTGAGCTTATAGGGTGCTTTAAATATTTTTATTCTCCTGAAATTAGCTTCTTGCCACTACCATAAACTTTAAATGTTTTCGTAAAATCATAGAAGACTTGGATCTTACTTAAGCTGAAATTGAGTATCTTATTTCTTTTGAAGGAAATGGTTCTTCTTGTTTTGATGGGTTTGTTGGGGTTTCTTTTGGTTGGCTGGGTGTTTGTTGTTTTTTTTTTCCAACTGTCATGCAGAGGATGACAATTTCAGCAAAGCAGGAGCTTCAAATAAGTTTCTGCATTTGGAAGCATGGGATTCTGTTAAGCCTCAATATGTACTGTCTGCTTCATTAGATCATTTGCTTGCCCTTTTTCTCGCTAAGTATAAAAGTTATTTGGCTTTATTCCCTGCTGGGTAATAGAAGAAGGGAGGTGTTTTGTTATCTGTAGCCTGAGGATAGAGGAAGGCTACTGAAGGAAGATCTGCTGGTAGAGAAATCTTCATGGCTCCTTTTACTCTTACTAGGAATGTGCAGAAAGAAGACCGTACTCCTATGGCTGAAGAATACAATGAATACAAGCAGATTAAGGCCAAGCTGAGGCTGCTGGAGGTCCTGATCAGTAAAAGAGATATTAGCTCAAAGATGATGTAAAGGAGGAGAGTGGTTTTGCCAATACACTAAGAAGAGAGAGCACCAAGCGGACAAGTGCATGAAGTGGATGCATCGAGAGCCTGGCTGGGAGGGCTGAGGAGCTCCCTGGGAACTGAAGGGCCATTACCAGAGGCAGGACAGGGAGAAAGGGTGGCTTTCCATCACTCTCTCCAATTGCTGTTGTCCATTCTTTCTCCAGGCCTGATGCCCAAAATGGTTTGCCAGTGTAGGAGACATGATGCTGTCCTCAGTGACTGCACTGAAGGGTTCCTTCTGTTTTGATTTGCTTACAGATCCTGTAATATTTAGAATATAAAAGCCAACTATGCTTTTTCTTTTCTTCAGGATATCATAGCAAGAGGCAAAGTAGCATGAATAGTGATTAAATCATCAAATAGCTTCCACTTTATTTTACCAGACCTGACCCGATCTCATGTGACGGCACAGGTCAGGCAGCACCGAGATTGTTCTCTTGTAGTTACAGTAAAGATTTGCTCAGACTTTTGACCAGACTGTTCAGAGTTCAGAGACTTCCATTGCTTTATAAAATGTTGGAAGTGTATCCTGGTCATAGCCCAGAACTGGTTTGAGTTACAGTTTTGCACAGGATTCAGTTGGGTTTTCTTCCCTCTTTTCTTTTTTGACTGCCAATTCAATTAAGAAAATACCTACATCTGTTTGGAATAGCGAAGCAGAAGAGTTGTGCAGCAAGGCTCGTGCCTACTTGTTCCCCTTGGGAGGTGGATGCTGTGAGATTATGATGCTTGGGCAATTGGGAAGAGGTTTTATCAGCTTTAAGTTAGAATGCCTTGGGAGTTTGGTAGCTGCTCAGCTAAGTGTCAGCTGTTAAGCATTTGGAGGACCCACTACATCAGACCTTACGCTTCTGATAATGGGTATAAGAGCCTAGGGTGAAAGTCCACATGGATGTCATGCACACCCATTAGCCTCAGTTTTATTTATGTGTGCCACCAGACAATGTGTGCTGAAGCAGTGATGCTTTGTGGCAACAGAGGATGTTCTTTTCTTCCCTGTGGCTTTGTTGGGTGTAGTTTTTACGCTGGGGCAGAGGATACTGAAGGGACGTGAAAGCCTGGAGCCACGTGCTGCACGTGTCTCAGGTGCAGGGTTGAGCAGTTAAACATTATCAGATCTGAAATAAGAGTCCTGGGCCACTGGATTCCAGTTCTTGCATCGGACAATCACTGCCTGAAGGAGTGAAGGCAGCAAGTTCAGAATCACAGCGAGCAGCTGACAGTTCTGCAGCCCTGTGCACTCAGGGGTGCATGCAGGCAGTCACTGCCCCACAGCCCTTCCCCTGGACCTGGGGCAAGACACTCTTGTTAATGGGGCTTGGCTCTGGTATCACAAGGTGATGCTGTCTTTTATCTCAGTTCCCTGGGGAGCTGCGTGCAGGAGCCAACGAGCTGAGGATGGGTGCAGTGCACCTCATCGCAGCCAGGCTTCACGCAGGAGCAGGGCCCACAGAAGAGCTCCTCTCTTCCCTTCTCCCTGCAGGCAGGAGGGCCCATAAAGAGGAGCAGTTGGTAAACTGCCCCCTTCCACGTGCTGTGCCGTCTGTGCTCATTCTTGCCAAAGCTGGTGCTGAGGGCAGGTCTCTTTGGCACCCCGCAGCTACTTGGGAGGCCGCCTTCCTCCCCCTTCCCCAGGGCTCTGCATTGGCAATCTGCCTCATAAGAGGCTGATGTGCTTCTGTTAGGGAGAGCCTGGGGCTGTTTTCTACTGACAGCAGAACCGCCCGCTCCTATAGAAAAGTAGTGAAGGCTGAATTCCCTGTTTGCAAGGGTTTGTATGATGAACTGGGGTGTGACTTCTAAGAGGCACTGAGTGTCCATCATGAGGTGTGGGCTCTGCCTCTGCAGATCTGATGTGCTGAGTGTTACAGTTGGGCTTAGAAACTGCATTTGAAGATGACTGGCAGGAAGGGAAGCTTGGTGTAGTTCCTGCCCCTTTTCCTCCTCATTCATGTTGTAGTGGGCCAACACTTCCCAGGAGTATGATTTCTCTGATTATTTTTAAAAGCCTGTTTGCACTGTGTACCAATAAATGATGTTTGCTGAGTTTTGCCCCTGACAAATCTTGATAAATGATACGTAGGGAACAGTCCATTGCATTGTATGAACTGATGAGATTGTAGCATTTTCTGATGCTTAGTTACTGCTGTTTACATGGCATACTGCTAGAATTTCAGATAGTTTATATGAAATGTAAGTACAGTTATGCACTTTAGAGAGTTTATATTTTTGAACTTTGAAAGCTAAACGTAACAGAATCCGTTAAGTAAAACTGTAAATTAAAAAAGAAAAAAAGACACACCTGGCTGCCTCCTCTCTATTTCTAAAATGCTGTTTTCCCTGTGGCAAAAACCAGAACCACCACCTGCACTGTTGTTAAGAAAGTAAGTAAGACTGACATGGAGAAGAAGGAGATGACAAAATCCTAGGCTAGCTTTGGACTTCCAGATGTACATCTGCAGGAGTTCCTTCCTTCCTCACTCCTTTCCTTCCTTCCCTCCCTCCCTCTGAAAAAAACACCCATTATCAACATTTCATATGCTGCTTTATTTTTCTTCAATGCTGCATTACATTACCAACACTCCACTCCTCCCTTTGCCAAGACAAAACCTATAACCTTTTGTTACAAGGTGCAAAGTTCAATACTAGATATTGAACGTGGTGCATGAAGAATATGTCCTAAGAACAACTCAATTGCAAAACCTCAGGCTTCAAATGAGATTTACACCAATACCTTAAAAGTGGGGTAGTCATTTACTCAGCATTAATGGGATGGGGGCTCTCCAACCATACAGGATACAGTTCACGCTTTTGCCCGCTCGTCTTTTATTGTACAGTTACTGTACATTACCACTGCAATTCATAACAGATTGTCCTTTAGCCTTCCCCCCAGCACACGCCAAACAAAACAGATGCCGTAGGTTCCACTCCAACCATAAGCTGCAGTAATAACACCAGCCTCTAATCAGAGAGATACTACACCAACAGGAATCTGATGCTTCTTTCTTTTCCTCCGGCCTGATGACACTGGGGAGCCTGCACACATCCTCACGCATGCAAAACTCCTCTGGAGAAAAGCAGCAGTGATAATCACTGCCAACTCTCCTTGTAATGAAGAACACATCTGATAGAATGGAAACACTGGACTTGGCTCTGCCCCCCTGCCTAACATGGGGACAGAAGAACAACACAAGAGAGGCACAGTCCAAGAAACCTGTTGTTAACAGTACGGTTTGTCCATCCACAAGCCTTAACATAAAGGAATTCGATGATCCTTTAAGAAGACATTGCTTGGGAACAAAGTTTGACACAGAAGAGGAATAACAAGCCAACCCTGCAACCAACACATCCTCCATGAGATAACTGGTGCAAAAAGACAGAGCACGTACCATAACTGACCTGGGGATAACAAGTGACACCTCAGCCCAGTACCATCTGCCAAGGACCAAAGAGCAGAGGGGATACGTTCACTCCACGTAAGCAAGAACCAGCTTGCATTTAAAAAAGGAAGGAAAAAAAGGGTGTGGGGAATCACAGCTTTTTTAAAAGGTGATGATTATTTCATCCTGAATTACCACCGTAGGCTACGTGCAAGGAACACCAAGTACATAAACTGATCTAAAACGAGGAATCAACGCGTGTGTAAAGGGCGATAAAAGCAAACTAGAGGGAGTTGCTGGTAGGGCACTGCTGTGAATCTGGAGGGGAAACAACAGAAAAGCTCACTGAACTGATTGTGTTCAGCAGATCAGAAAATTCAAAGCAATAGTCCCTGCCTGCTAAAGCCTCACAAAATACTGGCAGCATTAGGTTGAGACTGCATTCTCCAAATCTATTCTTATTATTTTTCCCCAAAAAATGCTGCGATCCTTTCACATACAAAAATAAACCCAAGCCCACCATGTACCCAAGTGTCTGTGCCTCTCCCACACCAGTCAAGCTAAGCTGAAGCCCTCGTAGTGATCAATGGCTTGCACCAGCCGGGCACTGAGGATCTCCTTGCTGCTGTACTTGGGCAGGTCCAGGAGGTTGTAGCAGGTGTGTGCCACAGGCAGGTACTGCTCCCCGTTGGCGGTGGACTGGATGACAATGCGGAGGCTCGACATGCCATAGATGGGGATGCGGTCACTGCCCGTCAGAAACACTGCAAGCAGAGAGAAGGCAAGCTGCTCAGAGCAAGCACCTCACTTTGAGGCTGGAGAAGACCTCTGGAGGTCATTTAGTCTGACACCATCTATTGCTTGAAGCAAAACATACAGGTGCACTTCTCAAGGCATTTCTCGAGGGCATTTCCTCTCAGCACACAACTCCCCTCCCACATGGAGACAGCCATCAGGAGAGGTGATAAACAACACCTTCTCACATCAACGGTGGTCTCATTTTCCTACTCATTACACGTCAGCTTCTTTGGGTTATCACCCCCAAATTGTCCCATTTGTCCCTAATACGAGTGTTGCAATGCCTACAGAAGAAGCAATCAGGTTACACATAGGCACTGGGGGCTGCCATGATCTGCTACCTAGCAATATAATAGATGGATGGTGTACTTCCACTGCACACATGGCCCTGTGAACACTTCAACCACACAGTGGTTTTCAGGTTGGAGGGGGAAACGGGGACAAAGCAGATTATCTGATGAACACGTAACTGAGGAGCTAACCATGCATGCCGGGTCACTCTCTGTTAATGCAGTGCGCCACAACCCTGGAGCTCTGCACGCTCCCACCCAATTATTTTCTTTCAGCAGACAGCCTGCACCACTGCAAAATACTCACGGAGAAATTTCTTCTTCTTTTCCAAGGGAAATGCATGAAAGGTTTCCCAAAACATTCTCACGGTTGGGTGCGTTGCAGTGTAGTCTCCCTTATAGACAGCACTCTAATAAGAAAGCAAAAAGTTAGATCGCTGCATCCAGCAATAGAAAGCAATATCTAAGCAGAAACCAGCCCTGATCTCTTCTCTTGTCTGACATGGGATTGCTATTTGGCAGTTAAGAAATGGAGCACTGGAAGTACCACGAGGAAGAAGGAAAGCAACAATTTCTGGACCCTCTGTCAGTGTTTTTGGTGGGTTTTCTTGCCCTTGTGTACTGGAGTGAGTTTTACTCTAAGTTTTGTCTCTTTCCTACAGTCTTAGCCGTCACACTGATAAAAACCAGACTGAAGTCCTTCTCCTCTTTTCTTTCTCGTTCCTAATTTCCTCCCTGAGCTGTATTTAGTAACAGGGCAATAAGGCATCTCATGTGAATGACGGCAAGATGAACAAGGCACACAAAAAAGGACACTGTGGCTCACCACACCCCATGTCCCACTGTGCTCACCTTCCTGGTGCTTGTTAAAAAGACAAAAGCAATGAGAAGGGAAGCTTTACCTCCTCCAGTTCCTCCCAGTTGTAGTTGCTGTTTCCAACTATCATGGCCCTGAGCTCTGTGGGCTGGAAGAGCTCCAGGACTTTCCCACCACACACTTTCAGGAAGCCAGTGGAGAAAGCTGTGTACCACTCGTGGATGGAGCAATTGAAGATGTAATTTACATAGGCTTCAACAAATTTTTCCCTAGGACGTTGAGAGACAGAGAAAAGCATTTTCACATAAATGCCTGAGCAGCAGCACTGTGTGTTTTCCTGTTTTTGCCTGTAATGTGTCTTATAAAAACTTGTGTTCAATAAGTTTGTCCCACCACCACCAAGCTCAATCATTGCAACGTGGACAAAGAATTAAGGCAGCAGGTAGCACCAAGTGTCTGCCTAACCTCTGAGAGAGGCTGCCACTTCCAGAACTGGGAGCCTGGCCAGGCATGCTGTGATTCTGCAGAGGCAGCTGCTCCAAACCCAGTCCCCACTGAGTCCAGACTGAGGAAATCCTGTTCTGAAAAGTCTCAATCTGAAACTACATGGCCCATTAACTTCCTCCTCAAATTACTTCTCTTACTACAGAACAAGAAAATAAACCTAGGAATTTCTTATTCAGCCTTCACACTCTGGTTAAATAAAAGTAGAATTTGTGCTTCTGGAATAGGCAGCAAAGAGAATGACTTCCCTCAGAATGACAGCACTGTTTTGCTTCAAAGGTTCCCAATAACAGCACTGAAATAAAAACAATATTCTGCAGTTACTGGCAAAAAGCTGGTGGCAGGCCATGGCCAAACTGTCTTCGGATTTTGTTAGGAACTTAGGAGCCTTCATTTTCTCTTTTCTCATTCTGAAGCACCAGGATCTGAGTGCAACCCTAGAATTCTACTTTTGCAATGACCTGAAATATTTCCTGATGATATCATCTGACGACAAACTGGAACATGAAACTAGTCTCTATGGGTGGAGCAGCTGTTTCTGCCTGGCTTTTAAGAACTGCTCACACTCAGATGCAGACCAAGGAACCAAGCAGAGCCCAGTGTCTCAACTGTTGCAAAGAAGACCACAACTGGAAGAAGCACTATGACCTTCTGATGGAGGAATTCTCAGTGCATACGCTATGTAAAAGCAGCACAAGATGGGTAAGAAATTCAAAAAAGAAAACAAGGAAGCAGACTGTCAAATATGAAGACTTGGAAAAATAAATTATACAGCAAAGGGGGATTTATTTTCCAGTGCATTTGTTTTGCTGTCATCTTGCCGACGGTCACCTGAGCATTAGGGAAACCCAGGCTGATTAAACACTTCACTGTTGCTTAATACCACTCCGGCAGTTACAGTCACAAACCATTCACCAAAACATTTTATGCTGTGATATCCAATATGAACTTCAAAAGAGAAGGGGAAAAAGCAAGCATTTCCTACTCAGTACTGTTCAGTCAAAGCAATCCTAAGGACCCTTCAGTTACCGGTGAACCTTGCTCAAAGAGAAGGGCAACATCCAAAGGCATCAACACAGCACGCTTCTGAGGCCAGCAGGGCAGCAATTTGGTCCCTGACCTCTAAACATAGCAACAGAGGAAGTCATTAAGCAGTAAGGTGGATGAATTGACAGCCATGTCTAGACTTGGATTTAGAGGTTAGCTTGAGTTCAAAACTCTGGCCATGACAAAGCAGCTGCATTGTGAAATGCATTAAGGTGGTGCAGCCACAGACCTGCCTTTCTTTCTAAGGATTTGCTCCTCTTCTTGTCCTTCCTCACTACACAGCTGAAGGAGTTAACCTGAATGTTCTTCCCAAACCTTTGCTCTGAGCTAAAACCACTGATCCTTCCCCCAGGCCAGTGCAGCACATAGCAGTAAAAATGCTATTATGCTTCTGAATGTACATGCCTACGTAAACTAAAGACCAGCACTGGCATTTCCATCTTCATTGTCTGAAACTCACCCATACTCATCTTGCTGCCCATCTTCCCTTTACAGGGAGACACATTTACACTGCTCCGTCTCTACCTGAGTTTCATATGGAGACAGCTACCTAGCAGTAAAACTGCAGTAAAGTAGCTAAAAAGTTAATACAGACAAAGCTTTTACAGCCATGGTTCTAGACACAATCAGAACCATTTTAAATAATCAGATTAATAGGAGATGACTTCATCTCCAGAATTGCCAGTAAGGTCTTCAGCAGTCCTTGCACAAACCCCCAACCATCCTGCTGACTGAAGACTGGATCACACTGTTTTGCCAGCAGAGAAAGAATTTGAATACTGTTTCAAGTAATCAAGGCATCTGTAGAAATCCAATTACAGGATTATGAGAAGAAAATACTTTAGCAGTTGGAAAAAAAATCAAGGAGGGGTAAATGGTAACAGTACTTGCAGTAACTCTCAAGGTTTCAGCCAAATGCAAAGCAATTTGTTTACATACAGCTGGGCCTTATGGCTCTGATCAGGGATGGTGGTCCTCTGTCAGGCATACATAAGGGAATGTTTCCTGCTCCAGAATTAACAATACAAACAAGTTTGCCAGTCTCCGTTTTACTTCTTTCAGGTACAGCTCCTGTCCGTACCACTCATGGGGATTAACATTCAAGGGCCAAAATCGTGTTGTGATTGCTATTTGCCACGAGAAAGCTGTGACAGGGCTCTACATTAATGTCTTTCATAGAGAAGATACCCATCCAAAAAGCTGTGGGACATTTCTCAGACACTGGTAGATGCAAACCTCACTCTGTATGTAAATGTCACAAGCACCCAGTAACTTTCTCAACAACTGGTCTTACAATCTGTTCAAAAATGACTTCTCAGTGACTTCTAATTCTCCCCCACATTTCATCTCAGCCAAATTTTCTGTGGCAGCGCATCTGACTTCATCACAAGTGTGAGCCCCTCCCCACATATTACCCCACTTACCTATTGTCCTTCTGCACCTGAATTTTGTCACCGTCTTCAATCAGGTTCTTGTGCTCTGTCACACCATAGCTCTCCCTGCAGATCTATATAAAATAGCAAAATTAATTTTACTGCAAGTACTTCTCAGGCCATGTGCCTGCAGAAAGATACAGGGTTCTCTTTCACAGCTGACGAGTGGCATTTGAAGGGTGGGACAGAGAAGTGCGTATATGCTGAACACTTTTTCCATCCTGTTTATGTCACCACTTTCTACCATTTACATTTGCTGCAGAACTGGTGTTAAGCCTAAAAGCAAGTTCAGAATGGAAAAAAGTTTTTCTTTAGGTCAACAAGAGACTGCGAACTATAAAGAGGATACTTAAATAAGGCCACATGCTTTGGCAATGAACAGAATTGCTTTTTATTACTATTACTATTATTATCATAACAATGGAAGAACAGTAGAATAATTCATTTGCTCTCATTGCAAGACAACATGGCCACGGACAAACTGCTTCTCTTGTTTGGCCTACAGTGGCACCAGTACAAACATACCTGGGACATGCAAAATTATCACAATTATGGCTGCATTACTTCATCCTGAGTTGCAGCTCTGACCTGCTTGAGTTAAAGGCAGACTCAGGTCTGACTCAGGCAAGAGACAAACTTGATTTAAGAAACTTTGTGTTCTCATTTAGCGAACAAGAAATAGACAGCACTCTCCCAGCTTGACAGTGTGTAGCAGGGCTTCCTGCTACCTTGTTATTGCCCCAGGCTGGACCTGAACAGACAGCCAAGAGTCTGTATCATGCTCAAGATCAATCTACCACTCAGTCTGTTAGAGCAACAGGACTTCAAAGGCACTGAAACATGGAAGCCCTTAACCTGCCTGAGGGCAGCATGGGAAAACACCACTGGAGAACAATGATGCTGTATTTCTTCATGAGTATTAATATGTTTGCATATGAGGAAAGTCCTACCTGATATCTTAATGTACATGAAGATCTAACTCTTAATTCTAGGGAACCTCCACTGTGTAATAGAAATTATTGTCTCTAGGTTACTAGCTAGAAAAGAAAAAAATATTACTCTAGAAGCACAGGAAAGCTGACTACCTCATTCCCCTAGAAAATATTTGTTTCTAAGCAGCCTAACCAAACGCAATCAATATAAATTTTACATATAAAAATATGATTATGACAGCAAGGAAAACTCCAAACTGTGTTAGCATTTCAAGCACTGGCCCAATGATCCCAAAGCCTCCATTTTCAAGGAGGATTTAGGAATCTAATTCTTACTCTGCTGTGTGAGAAGTCAGCCACTGGCATTATGTCACATGCCACGGTGACAACACAGCTACTCTGGAAATCATTCTATTTAACCTGCTTACTAGCTTAGTTTTCATTGCCATACACACAACAAGAGTTGACAACAAAGCATTTTAACATCTTAACATTAACACAGGGTATTTGCTACAGGCATATTTTAGAACAAACACACAGTACACATGAATGGGCTTCAACCATACTGAAACAATCACAGCACTTGTATGTTAAATATATCTTACTGTAAAGTTCAAGCAGAACATCTCCTCTATATCTTCCCCAGGATAATCTAAAAGCTGCTGAAGACTTCTATATGTGAGTGGGGGAAAGAAGTAAGAAAGAAAAACATATTCAAAAAGCCATTCATTTAAAAAGAAAAAGAAAATTGGCAAAAATAAAAAGCATCATACAGCTGGGCAATATGATTGCAAGAAAGAGGACCTCTGTGTCACCTGAAAAGGTAAGAAATACGCTTCAAGGGAGAAGATGCTTCGCTAGAATCAAGACAGGCTCCAGTCCACACAAAGTATCCACGTGGTCCATGCCTACCCAGTACATGGATACTCTGTAGTCATCCTGGCCTCACACAGAGCTACTTTTCTAGTTTTCAAGGGCTGCTAGATATTTATGCCTAGACATAAAGAAGGTCTGAGGGATAGGAAGAAAACAGGGTAGTGGAAAATTGAATCTTTATCTCCATTATACAGTAGATATTCTTCTCCTATCACTCAAGTCCTTTTGCTGTCTTCCTGACATTTTACTTAATTCTAGTAAAATACAACTGCAGCTCTGTGCTGGTAAACCAGACAGTGACTCCAGAGACAGGAGACAGCAGTCGCACAGCAGTGGGACATTAACCTGTCAAAGAAAACCAATATCCTCACGCAATTAGGAAGAAAAGATTAAACGAAGATTTTAGAAAAAGCCATTTCTTCACCCAGTTCAGCCCCCTTTCTTGGGGATCTGCTCATGGGAGCAGGTCAGAGTTATGTTGGTTCAGGGCCAAGCCCAAGCCTGGCTTGAGGAAAAAAGCTGAGGCTAGGATCTGAGATCACGCATGTAACTGGGCTACAGAGCAGCAGTGCTTTGGCTGTGCTGATATTGAGCTTTCTGGGGCTAGCAAGGTGGCTACAGAGGTTATTACCCAAGCAGATCTGACAGCCCAGGGGAGAGAAGGCTTATATGACATTCACCACAGCACTCTGCTGGTCTCACAGCGCCCCAAAAATAATCAGTCACTCATAAGGACCAGGAGATGATGTGCTGAGCAGTTTGTACCATTTCTCAATCTCAGATGGATGGTTTCCCTTCCCAGACAGGCTGCAAATTTAGTGTTTCGTACCTTCCTTCTGTAGGGGACAGCTCCTTCAAATCCTCTAGGCATGGCTTCACATTCAAGAGCTTTTTGTACAGAGCCAAGGGAAAGTGAAGGTCTACCACTGTGAAGTTGTATATTGCAAGACCGCATATGATGCCAATCAAGTGAAACCAGTTGTGTTCTACAAAACACTTCAAAACCACACAGAGAAATCCTGATGAGATGCAATGTTTCTGGCACGATGCATTGCACTCTTACCCCATGCATGAAAAGACAGCCCCTGCTATCTCAACTGGGACAAAAACAGAGTGTCTGGTCCCAGTCTGGTTGTGAATTCCTCGATCCTAGCCTTGCCGGAGTGTGGCACAGAATGAAGCTTCAGAAACAGAGTCCTATTACTTCTGTAAACCTCTACGTTTAGACGTTATCAGAGAATCATAGAATGGCCTGGGTTGAAAAGGACCACGACGATCATCCAGTTTCAACCCCCCTGCTATATGCAGGGTTGCCAGCCACCAGGCCAAGCTGCCCAGAGCCACGTCCAGCCATTAACAAAGCTTCACTGTTTGCCACCTATGTACTCCAAGAAAATCTGTTAGCACTTCTCTCCCTGTCACTCACTCCAGCTTCTATTAAAAGGCTTATGCATAACCACAGTGCCACCCAGGCAAACACAGGCAGCTGTTGGTGCACAGGGTTTCATTCCTTCATGTATTTACTCTCACGCTGCTAGGTCAGTCCGGGCTCATTGCCTGGATTTGCTAAACGTTGTAAATACGTGATTCAGGTATTTTCAGTGATCACGTTGTCATTACTCTTAAGTGTCAAAAGATTTGTTATTTTTACAGCTTTAACACGAAGAGTAATTGCTCTGTAATACTGTCACAAGTTACAAAAGGCACCATGTCATTTCCTTCCTTCAACAACGTAATTAATCCATTAAAAGAACCCCCCACCACGGCAAGTGTACCTCACTGATAACACTGATAACATCACTTTCCAACTCATGACATAACTAGGAAGGTGAAGAAAAAGGATACAAACAATCACCTCCAGCTATCTGAGAGGTTGAGAACTTCCTATCTTTCCCAAACCAACCAGTGCTCACTACAGCACTGTTACTTTTTAAGAGTTTCCTCACGCAGATCATTACAAAGCTTTGAACCTGAAGGTGACAGTGATGCATGAACAAGTGGATTGATTGCAATTACGTGAACAGCAACGGAAGTACTGTTAATTTTAATGCCAGTATGACCTAAACCTCTGGTTGTATAAAACAGCACATGATTATCACATTCATGCTATTTGAGAATTCTATTAACTGTCATCTGATACTTAATACAAGCTTTATTGTAGGATATGAATAAAGAGCCAATTCCTTAACAGGCATAATCAAAGGCAATGGGCCTATACTAATTTACATGGGCTGAAAATAAAGCTCACATTATGTGGGTGGAAAATAGGAGGAAAATCATTTCTTTCCCATCGTTTGCCACTAGCTTCATTATCATTTGAAGCAGGACATTATTTCAACCTGTGTGCACAGAGGACAAGGGCTCACCGTGTCTGAAAACCACAGCAGGTTTGACTCTGGGTAGTAAGTGAACATGCCATAGATGGGGTTGAGGAGTTCTTTCAGCAACAGGAGGAAAAATTCCTTTGTCACCCCTCCAGCATCAACAGCTTCCTCACCATCGAAGATGACCTGCAAAAAAGAAGGTCAGTAACAAGGGTGCAGAGCTGAGACAGAATGAATCAGACACCCTTCTGACTGAAAGCCATGCAGAGCAACTTGCCTGATATGCCCCACCTCGCTACAGTCCTGGAGCCAATTTCAAGCACTCGGCTTGCAGGGAAGGACACGGAGCACAGAGTGGCAAATCTGATAATCATATAAACTTTAACTTCTTATGTTTCTCCTGTTAGATAGCAATCTAATCATAATCACCTGCCTCCTCAGCAACAGAAGCAGCGTGACAGCAGTTACTGAACCTTGCAGCAACCGCTCAGAGATAAAAGACACTTTATTGTAAGTGCCCTGCTCCCACAGAATGGCAAAACAGACAACACATCATATCACAGACATTACTTCCCTCCTGCCCCTCACCTAGATGAGTCACCAGGAAAAGAGAGCAAACCCTCTAACTGGCTTCCTGTGAACTGATTACTGCCAAAAGACTCCTGGAGTCAGAGAGGAGAAAGATCCAGCTCCCCCACTGAAGACATGTATCCCTGCCTTTTACTGCTATGGCAGGACATTGCTGAAGTGGTAATGCAAAGGGCAGAAAGGCTATGGAAATGTCAGCTGCATGAGAAGGTTTAAGGAAAACTCACCTTAAGAGGCTTTTTCAAATCAATGTCTGAATGGATACTCAGCTCTCTTAGAGCATCACCCACTAAATTACTCCTGCGAACATGAAGAACCAGGAAAGGGCTTCTGGCCAGCAGAGGCTCCAGGGTGAGAAGCATAAAGACATTTTGCAAATTTGCACCATTTATTGCCACCTGTAAACAAGAAAGGCGTGAGAAACAGCTGGAAGGAAAACAGATATATGCCTGATGTCCCTTTCTTCCTTCCAGGGTATGAGGATTGTGTGACCACTGTACAAGTCTGTGTGCATGTGTGCCTGCTCGTACCCTCATTTTCCACACCCACACCTTTTGAGATCAACAATTCACAAATTTAAGAAAGAGACATTAAGAAGAGATATTAAATTCCTGAACACCTTCTGACATTAGTGACAGGCAGGTGGAAGAAAAAGACTTTCATTAAGCTTCTACCGAGTCATGAAATAGTGTGAACACAATTTTGATAAGGTACCATACAGTCTGCAAAGCAAAACTGTGTTACTAACACACAAGATGAAAATATACCACGGAATTCACTGCATACAATTGAAAGCTCTCATTTATACAGATTTTCTGGTGTCAGTTAAGACACAAAGTCCAGTCAGAGGTTTGACTACCCACAGAGTATTCATTCTTGCTCTTTGTCTGTCGTAAGCAACAAATTCATGCAGAAAATTCACTTAAAAACTCAAATGACCTTGAGACAGAAATCCATTGGAAAGCAAACTTCCATTCCAGCACTCACAGGAGTACTGTTTTTTGGTTTCTAAGTGGTTGTCCTCATAAAGATTCTGTCTCTCGGGACAATACAACTGTTGCCAGCCTGCTGTTCTGCCAAGACAAAGCAGATCCCCTCCTCACAGCTGTGTGCTGCTGACAGTTTGGGGAGTTGGAAATACACAGAAGAAAGCAGCAAAATGAGAGCATCAGAAGCTGACTCTTGCTGCTCAGTGAGTGCAGGCCAAGCTTACATATAGAACCAGAAGTCAGATTTTAACTCTCAAGTTCTGACAACCACCATTCCTCTGCTAGGCAGAAGATGCAAAAAGGTGCCCACTGAACCTGAAAGCCACTCTATTCTTCCAGCCTTCCGGCTCCTGTAAGAGAGAACTCACCTTAATTCATATGCTTGGACTCTCATAAATACATTAGGCTTCCTTCTCTATATAGTTTAGACTTCCACTATTTGCACAACTGGCAATTCTGATGTTATCAAACTTCCCGGAGTTCAAAAAAACTAAGCACTTTGTCTGCCCTGGGCAAACAGCTTCTCCAACTGTTCTGCTCTCCTGTACCATGGAAACAATAAAATGAGGTACAAAGTAACTCCCAGTGAATTCCTTTCCTCGCAGGCACCAATGCAAAAGACAGGAAAAAAGCAATAGGGCAGGAAAAGGGGAAGAGAGAATGATTACCTGCATCTGCAGTTCTGCATCTGTCTGTAACATCTTGGTCTTAGCCTGAGCATCAAAGATGAAAGGATAAGAACAGAGAGTCACAGCATCCTGTAAGTCAAACAGACAGACAAGTCTGTACTCACAGTTTCTATAAGCACTTTTTTCAAATAAAGAGTCATAAAAACAACTTTCTTACCTGCATGATAGATGGTCTTACCTTCTGTGAAAGAGAAAAAAAAAAGGGAGAAAGAAATGAAATTTTTTTTCTCTGTAGATTGTGTCGTGCTTTTCTTAGGATGGACTAGTTCAAAGGTGACCCAAAGGGAATTTTTCTCCCACAAGCCAATCTCTTCCTCTTGAAGAAAAGCATGGGAATTTCCTTCTCAAGGAAACAAACACTTCTAATTCAAAACTCTCATACCAAACATTACTGAGAGGACTAACTGGCATAGAAGACCATTAGCCTGAGAGAGCTGAAACTTACCTTATGAAGAAAAACAAACCAAAAAAAGCAACCCTCAAGGCAGAGAACACATGAAACAGAAGAGAATGTAAGGCCACAACACAACAATGTAAGACCAGTCTTGCAACGCAAATTACTCTTCTAATTAGCCTTAGATACATTTTAAACTGTTACTGTTGTGTCAAACTAGGTCACTATTTTATTGTTCTGCTCAATAAAAGCAAGCACACAGCTGCACTATGTATAGGATGGAAGGTGAGGAGAGGGAACACAGCACTCACAACATTTAGAAGGTACATACAAGCACGTACACTAATATTTGCTGCAGTCCCTTTCTACTCTTGCAGCATCTCTGGGTGGATTTATTTGTTTGTTTTCTCACATCAGAGATTTCTTTCCTTGTTATAATTAAATAATCTCACTGCTCCTCCAGTGAATACATTACGCCCTCTAATAAGAGGATATTGAAAACATAGATCTCTTTCATGAGAGACACAGATATTGACAGAGTACGTGTGAAAGCTCTTACCATTCCAGCCTGATGTAAGAACCACATGAGGTAGTCCTCTTGAATATCCACCAAGCTGGAAATCTCAGGGATATAAAACTTATCATATTCTATATGTTTAACTTTCTGATTTACCTAGGGAAAAAGCAGAGTGTTTTTTAAATACGGATGCATTCAGCATTTTTCTTACAACAGGCAGTTGTGCTTTCACAAAATCAAATACAGCAGGTTGCAACAAACAGGCTCTAGAAAATTGAGAAACTTCTTTTTATTTTAGCTCTTCTTTCTCCTCATGCAGATGAAAGAGCGCAAATACAGTGGGAGCAGAAGTGTAGCAGGGCATTTGTATCACAGCAGTGCATGCGGTCTTGTGGCTCGGCACCAACATTTACGGTCAATTTTTCCCAGCGTTTGAGTCACAACTGAGCAACCTTCCAGTACACTGAATTCAGAATAACCAGTCACATCCTCACTGTTGTGGAGTTTCAATGAACAAAGAGACAGCGAACACACCAGCGCTGCTCCACAACTGGCAAAGAGCAGACAAGACCGAATCATCCTGAGCCAACACACACACCCAGGCTTACCTTGTGGAGCTTCTCCAAAAGCCTGAGAGCAGCTGTAATGTAGCTACTGAACAAGACTGGGATCAACAATGACTTTCTTCCACTGAGGAGGTAAACCACTGCACCTTTATAGAGATCCACTAGCCTGAGGAAATATCTTGGACACACTTGAGACCACCAGTTATCTGAAAAGAAGAGGAACATCAAAATAAATCTGGATCTGGATGCTCCTTACATGAAAGTGAAAAGAGGGGAGCTAAAGCTGAAAATAGAGGAACACATCAAAAACTTCCCTAGTTCCTTCCTGACTGTTGGATTAGAAAAGCAAGCAGAGGAATGGGCAGACACCAGAAGCTGAACAGCTTTCTATTTTCGACCCTTCCATTATCAACCATATCACTCACCATCCAGCCCCAAGCCATGATCAGTGCACAAGCCTGACCTCAAGATTTTCCAGTTACTTGAAGTATCTTATGTTCAAGATTGTGGGATCTTGCAGACAAGTCACTGTCCCTTTACAGTGATAAGAAAGTAGTTCTCTGGTCAGTTTTCCATCAGTACCACCTACTTTTATAGCAAGAGGCAGAGGGTGTCTCTTGGCACAGCTGCACTAAACATCCCTCTATTTTAATAAGCTGAATTACTTCTCGCTAACTTTCCTCCAAACAGACCCTGCCTATCAGGGAACCAAAGTACCTGCAAAGTACATCACATCTACTCTTAGAAACAAGCACTGGCTTATCCTCTGAAGTGTCAGCACAACAAATGTGTGCCACAGAAAGAGTATCTTTTACACTTCCTTAAGCTAGCAATCGCAGTGGACAAGGAACTCTAAGCGGAGGAGGAAATCTGCTTTCACATCCTCTTTGAATAAAATAAATAAACACAATAATAAACCACTAAACCTCAAAAAAAATTCACCAGAGCAATGCTTCTAGAGGCCTGAATATATTACACAGCATTTTATACACATGAGCATTAGTATAAGATAATCTTAAGAAACAGAACAGAATAGCAAAGAGCTAATATCTTTGCAAACATGAGCAGCAATTTTGAGCAGCTTATCTTCTCAGCATTGTGCTGATTATGAAATAATGTTAGCAGATATAAAATTCAGATGCAGGACATGAGCTGTTGTGTTTCAGTTGACCACAGACCAAACAATAGGTTTTTCTGCACTTCACATGGGCTAAATTAACTTTATGCTAGCAGCGTTTTCATTCATTTACCTTACACAGAAAATATATTTGGATGGGGACACATCTGATTAAATTTAACAGAGTAATTTCAATTAATCTTCATGACATGAAAACTGTGTTCACACAGAGGCTTGAAAATTTCTCTGGAATTGAGTCTCTGAATGCAGGTAAATTAGATAAGGTAAATTAGAATAACTTTCTCAGAAAGTGTTCTTCGAAATATTCTACCCTTATATTAAAACGACGCTTAACTTGAATCTGCTTCCTCATTTATTATCCACAGCACTGTAAAATTATAGGTTTTATATTACTGTAACTATCCAGCTTCCCATATTTTTACCTTTATGGCAGAGTATTCATTCCAATGTATCTGATGTTTAGAATTCAAACGTTATGTTTAAAATTATTTTACATGAAAGCACAGGTTTCTGGGAGGAGGATTCCTTGTGTGCTTTTGGCTTCTAGCTGCTTTTTAGAGGCAGCTGCTTCCTGACACCATACCACAAGTCATGCTCAACTGTCGTTATCACTGCAGCCACAGTTAACAAAACCTTTAAAATTAAATCAACATAGAAGTGTGACTGAAAAATCAAAAGACAGTAATTTGTATCCTCACTGGATGGTGAGAGCAACACGCATCTGAAATGGTGGCCTCTTACCAAGAACTTTGCTAGGATTGGTGTCCAAGCGCAGAATAGCCATTGCCAGAGGAAGTGTTAATGTGATATAATACTTTGAATCTTGGAAGGGTGGGAATTCAGGGAGAATCAGATAGATCCTCATTGCCTCAACATCTGGTGGTGAGCTGGACAACTGAGGAATCAAAAAGCTTTCAAAGCTCTTCAGTATCTACAAGGAAAAAAGACAAAATGAGGCAACTTGCCTTGGATGATGGAGCTCCTACAACGCAAATGATGTGTAAACAGAGCACAAAGAGCACAAAGTAGACTTAGCTTTTGCTTCCGATCACTCCAAGCACTCCACAGGACACAACTAAACTCATTTATTCCAAATGCACAGATGTTTGGGTAGGTTTTTCCAGGGGCGTCTAGGTTTGTTAACCCCTCTTGTTGAAGGTCACATCCCTTCTTTGGAAGCCCAGTCAATTAATTTATCATTCAGCACTGCTGAAATAGTTGTTTATGTGCATAAAAGCACAGCAAAACGGTCACCAAACTTTACAGATAAAGCTCTCCAGAAATAATTCTGTCTGAAGCAGACAGGTAAGATGTAAAATTTCACCTGCTGCAGTTCAAGTCTGACAAAATGTCACACAACACCTTCCTATCAGTGTTCCTTTCTGATGCCTATAATACACAGAATTCAATGTACCACAGGTCGGTGTACAAAGATCCCACTGTGCCTAAAACAAGGACTGCAGAGTCCAGAGTCCACAGGGCTACTCAACACATTGAGTTATTTCTGCTGAGGGGGAGTCAGGGAGGTTGAAAACAATGATTAGATATGACCAGTGAACAAACAGCAAAAGTGAAATTAAGAAATTCTGAAAAGCTATGGAGTACAGCAGATTGGATGAAGTGAAGAGACATCTTACATACTCAGTTCTAAAATGTTACTTTAAGTTTCTTAAGTTACTTTAAGCTTTTCACCCCTACTAATTTTTGGCACCCAGTAAAACATCTGTTTCAGGCCAGAACCCTTATAATGAGGCCTTTCTCAATTTCCTCCTGAGGAAATAGCAGCATTAAAAGAGCAATTGGGATGGATTTTAGCAGCAAAATCATAGCATAATACTTGCTGCAACTTACTAGCTCAGCTAGCAAGTGTAACTTCATTATTTCATCAGAAAAGACTCCATTAGGTAAGAGCCACTGTTACTCTCTGATCTTCAAGGTCCCATAAAGTTCACTGAAGACACTGACATAGTTCAGGAGCCACTGAACCTATTATTGCTAAGTCCTAACTTGGCTGTCAGAAGACTTGAGAAAAGCCGAAGATCATAGCCAGAGCAAAAACAAACAAGAAAAAAACTGTAAAAATTAGGGCTTAAAATATGGAGAACACACACTATTTTCTCACACATCTCTGCATTCACAAGAAAAATGTTCTGAGTTAGAATGAACAACCTGGAAGTACTCAGCTGCTGACTCACCAGAAGTGAGAACATAGTCATTACATACAAGCATAACACACACAGACTTGATTTCAGGAGTCATTTCAACCATTAATTAGACGCCATGAAACAAAACTTTTTAAAAAGAAGTTCTTGAGGCAGATTTTGAGAACAAAATCCATCCGGGTTGGTGGAGATGGATTCACTGACACCATGATGGATGCAGCCTGTAGATTTGAAATACAAATGTTCCCCCAAAACTGTGCTGTTTCCTGCATGTTACAGAGGGACAAAGCTTTTAATTCCCCCTAGGAACACCCAGAAACCCATGAAGTATAATACCTGGTCTAGGAGAATTGAATGTTGTGAGTTCATCAGCTTCTCGAACAGAACTCTAGTGGAGTTCAAATCAATCCCTGGGATCTTTGGACTGGTCTTAAAATGTTCATCAATTCTACAAAAAAAAAAAAAAAAAGAGATGGCAGACGTAAATTCAAGGAAGAGAAAACATTACCTGCATATTGGCTTTATCTGACAGTAAGTGATGGAGGACTGACCCCCAAGGAATTAATCAGACTAGAAGCAAAGCAGATTTTCACATCTTCTTGCTAAGGACAAGATGCACAATTCCCCCTTCAGAACTACTCTGGGCTTTGTTCAGATTTAGGATTCTTACAGACAAAGCTTATCAAACACTTTGATATAACTTCACAGATGCCAGTAAAAATAAAAAGATAACTGCTACAATTCCACTGACCTTGTGTCCAACACTATTTATCCCTAGGAATGTGTTTCATCAGACACGCTGTGAAGGAAACAGTACCTATTAAGCATGGGATGCATTTGTCAGGTTGCTGGTGCAGCTGCAATGAGAAGTTAATCATAGACTGCTGGAGTAGTTATCTCCATAACAACGTGAGCACCAGGCTGGAAATAGCTCCTCAGAGTCACACTGCTGTACAAGCAGCTTCAGTAGTAGGACTGCAGCACGCCCAGTCATACAGACACAGAAATGCTGCTTCTCTACTCAGCCCTGTGTGCCACAGAGCTGTACTGCAAACTAAATCACATTTGGGCACTGAAGGCATCAAATTGATCATTCATTTGGCCACAGATCTGTACAGGTAAAGTCTGCACTAGTCAAGGCATCATTAAGGTGGAAAGAGAACTGCACTGAGGTGAACAAATCACTCACTCTACTCCTTTCCAAGGAGCCCTGACACTATTTGCAGTGACTCAAATACTCAAATTGGAGACCTTACAATTTAATCCAACATGACACAACTCTTCTTCTACGGTCACATGTTGCCTTCTTGCAACACTACAGAAGAAGCCATTGTACCAGCTGAAAAAGTGCAAGAATAATGAAGTAGCTTGTTTTCTTTTTTGAGCTGCTCTTGGAAAAGATTACTCAAAAGATTATTCAGAGTAACTAAGTCATCTTCACCTAGTTACAGGTCATTTACTCATCACATCACCATAAAAATTCCTCCTCCACCTCATCTCATGCTGTTACCTCCCCAGCATTTACAGACACAGACAACACAGTCCTCCCCAACCCGCAGCCTTTGACTCAGCTATGCATATTACAGCCTTGTCACCACCTACTGTTAGTTACACCCATTTGAAACTCCTGCCTTCGCAAGCAAAAGCACAAAATTTCCCACAGCTGATGTCCCCTAAAAGGAAAGTGCTTCCATGCTGGCCTGCACGTATTTTTCAAGAGCAGCCTGTGCTGACGTACAATTCCACAATCAGTAGCTTTCCCCAGCTAGCTCAGCTGGGTGTAAGACTGCTCCAATATCTGGCATTAATAATCTCCTTTAATACCATATTACTATTCCTCTTTTAAAGTTCATATTCATTTCATAAGGAAAAATAACAAGCATGCCACTTACTCACCATGAACTTTCTTAGACCCAACTCTGACCACCTACCTCTTTAGTAGGCACTCTTTGCCCAATCTCCTGTTTGATCAGAACAATTAAAGCCCATTGCAACAGGCGAGTGACAAAAAGAGATTCCAGTCTGCCTCAAGGGAAAGCTACAGTTCTTGACTCTGTTTTTCACTTACTTCTTCTCCAAGAAGCTTCCATTCCAGCAGGCAGCCGAGGACAGTATCTGAACAACGTTACTGTTTGCAGCAAGAAGACAAAAGAAAACAGGGAGAGAAGGTATAAACAAATGTCCAAGCAAATTTCTTCATACATCTTTCCTTCATTCTATGGGAAACAATGCCAAGAACACCCCACTACTCAAAGGCAGAGGTTAAGGGGCTCACTCAGTATCATGTAAACTCCTCTTTGAAAAGAGGGATGTTAGCAATGTCTCCTCTCCACCTACTCTTCACTTCTCACGGCAGGCGGGGAAGAATTTAAACAGTCTTCTTGCTGTTTTTCATGAACTCTAAGAACATAATGAAGAACAACTTCATAATCAATTTCCCACCCTCTATTTGCAATATTGTGAGGCAGCCTTAAATTACTCTGGTTTTGCTAGGAAGCTCTAACCTGGTATCCTTGTGACTGGCACTTGTTCTCCCCTTGGATATTGTCAAGAACCACACACTTGAAAGGGCTGCTGAATTTCAAGTGAAAACATGGCACGGAAGCCAACAAAATTATTTAAATAAAACTTCCAACAAAAGGCTTGCCAGTGCCACAATACCTACTTGACAGAATTAGAACTGTTCTTTTCTAAAAGCTTTTGCCTCCAGACATCTATAGTTTCATCATTTATTAAACAGGTGTAACGTGTTTCATTTATGGTCCGGAAATCATCAGCAGGCAAGGAATTCTGTGAGAAGATACAGATTTCAGCAAAGACAAGGCTTGTACAACAACTCCTTCTTATTAAAAATTTCTGTTTTTTATACACAACTGATAGCTTTCTGGGTATGGTCTCTGAACAGGTTTGATTAGGAATCTGCTCCATTACTAATAAGTCCAAAAGGAAAGGCATGGAAAGGAATGGAAAAAGCCAAGATCATCACCAAATACATTTTAGAAAAGAGGAAAAGTCAAAAGCGAAAGAAAGTAGAATTTCAAATTCCGTTGCATATAAACAAAGGCTTAGTAGATTTATTCTACAGCTGCATCTATTCCTCAAATGTGTATGTCAAATGCTTACTTAAAAAAAATAAGATGATAGAAGCAGAAAAACTGCTTACTATCCAGCTGATCTGATAATATCCCATCCCAATGTGTATTCCACTCTCATCATGTGAACCTCTCTCTCTCAGGAGTAAAGCAGTCCATTACTTCCCATGTGCCAAGGAAGTAACTCCCTTCCCTGATGAAAAAACTGATATCAGTGTCTTCCCAATCACTCTTTGACATGACTCAAAAGGAAGACACCTAAAAAAGTTGTAAATCCCCATACTGTTGTAAATAAGTGTTGTCCTTGATAAGGTTTGTAAGGTAGAATGGACTCCAAAACACCACCTCATTTTCAGGAGATTAGTAAAAACAAAACAAAACAAAACACAAAGGTGTGATCTGAGAGCTGGGGCAGGAAAACAGATTTGAGAAAATACGAGAAGATACTTGATTTGGTTTACCTCATATTTGGAACAAAGCACAAATGTTTGGTCTCCTCCAGAGAAGATATGTTTAACAACGTGATATTTACAGGCATCTGTTGAGGAAAGAAACACAGTTGCATTAGAGGCTGATTAATCCTTCTTGCCTTTCCCCCCCACATTTGCACTGCCACTGTCTCGTGCTTTACACTACAAGGAACACCTGGCTCCTTGAGGGCAAGGCTGAAATGAGAAGGTACTGAAACACTTGAGCACTTGAAACAGCCAGAAACTGCAGCATAGGAAGTTCTGCACAACTGTGCGCAAGAACTTCTTTACAGTGAGGTGATGGAGCACTGGAACAGGCTGCCCAGGGAGGTGGTGGAGTCTCCTTCTCTGGAGATGTTCAAGACCTGCCTGGATGCCTACCTGTGCGACCTGCTATAGGGAACCTGCTTTGGCAGGGGGTTGGACTCGATGATCTCTGGAGGTCCCTTCCAACCCCTACAATTCTGTGATTCTGTGATTCTTTATTTGAGAAGGACACAGGACCTGGCAGTAGGGGAAATTTGTAATTTCTAAGTAGCAGTGAGGTTGCTATATAGGTGAGAAACCAAAGCCCTCAGAAATCAGTATTAAAACACTGCTCAAGATCACCAAGTGATGAGCTCTGCCATGATAACACAGGGCACACAGATTAACAGAGAGCAGAGGTCACTCAGTACACTTACAGTGTAATGTCAAGGTGGTTTTAGATCAACATGGGTGAGATGAAGTGACTTATGCCCATCTGCCACTTCAAATCACTCATAATACATACCAGGTTTCCCTGAGAGTTGCCCATTGTGAGCTGCCCAGTGACCCTTCACCGGAGAGGGACACTTAACGTTGCAAGTGTGCCCAGTTCCGAGCTGGCCTCTTGTTCCACAGCCAAATGCATAGATCATTCCTGAAGAAGGCACAAAGGCTAAAGTGTGATGTCTGTAACAGAGATGGGTACAAAGTTTGGGCCATGTTTAATAATTAAAAGAAAAAAAAAAAAAGAAAAAAAAAAAGACCTAAAATTAATTCTCACTTCCCCCAGGCCAGAAGCTGGCGCAAAGCACCAGTGCTCAGCTTTTGCCACTTGATGGCACCACTTTATAGGATGGAAGTTTTTTCAGGTGGAAGTGACTAAGAGCAGCCTGCACTAGCTGGCTCATGTCAGGACAACAGACTGAATTAGCTTAGTCATTTGCTAAGCCTGCATGTGTAAAAGGCAAGAACATAACACTTATGTTACTAACTTCTCTCCTCCTGAAATAGGCTAGAATCTTGTGACCAAAAGGGGCTGCAGCCCCAGAGTCTGTCTTGACCATTAAAACGGAAAGGTGTCACATGCCTGGGGCGCAAGAAACAGCCTCAATTAAAAACCAATCTCCGATAGAAGGACTTAAAATTTTCCAGGGAAATAAAATTAACATTAACTTAATTTTGACACACACGATGCAAAAGCAACACCATTCCTTCTATATACAAGACTCAGTGTCAGCATTAACCTCCACTGAAGGAAAATTTTTGACTGCACACAGTACTCACCTGCCACAAGCAATCTGGGATACTTCACTGCCCATCAGCTCAAGAACTCTTCGGGGGTTCACTTCATCATTCATGGAATCATGTCCCAGTTGCCCACAGGAACCTGCACCGAACGTGAACACCCCTCCACTCTGTTAGCAAACCAAACAGCATATTCTCCATTTAGGACCCATATCCCAGCAGCATCTCTTTGACTCCAGCTTCACTATGAGCTCAAGCTTAAGCAGAGATTGCTGGGGATTCCAAAGGATTCAGAAAATAAATTTGTGTTCTGCTAATGCAGCCACCAAACATCTACCTTGCCATTCATCAGTGTCAAAATTATCTCCAGGTATACCTACAGAAGACAAGCTTCTCCCCACCATTACTACATGAGCCTGAATCTCAGTAGGTTTAAAATGTGGCTCAACAGCACCCATTTCCACTATACTATACATCCACCTCCATCAGCTGCTGTTCAAATAGACTGTGACCTTTTTCCTTGAATGAGAATCACACTCTGGTGTTATACAGTAGCTTTCCCACAGGAACTTCAAGATCAGCTCTTTCAGACTCAGTTTCAGTACAACAGAGAAAATTAAGGCACCAACCCAGGAAGCAGCACACCTACAAGTGGCTGAGGTGAGGCAAGAACTAAACACTGATCTTCCCAATGCTAGTCCTATTCTCTGTCTACTAAACTACACACTACTTGGAAACAGCAGTAGATTTGGAATCGAAAGCCTCTTGTAAATGCTGTGAGTGACTGGCAACTCTCTGTTTGATAGCCTTTTCTGACTTGCCTTTTATTCCGAGGCACGGTAACTCTGTCTTCCAACACACCATTATGTTATCACCCCTTTGGATATTTGTTTCTTTTTTTTTTTTTTCCTGCACAAAGCTCATTTCTTTAAGAGATTCACCTGAGTTTTACTCAGGCTGTCATGGATTACTAACATCTTCATTTTAAAAACAGCACTGGTTCATGTTGGCAGTGAATCTCAGAATAAATTATTAGACTATTTTCCACTTTGTCTCTTTTCCAGGAGTCAGATAAAATAAGGAACTTCAGTTTGTTCTTTTCCATCATTTCCTAGGAAAATAATGTGAAACCTTCAGGCAAGACAGCAGCAAGGGTTTCCAGCTTTTGGAACTTCTTTACCTTTGTTAGAACTGCTGTGTGTTCCTCTCCACAGCTGATATAAACAACCTTCTGAGACCGCAATAGCTTCACATGGCAAGGGGATTCTCGGTCTGCGTGGAACAAAATAAAGGAACTGTTTCATGAATACAGTCCTAAATGCCTGAGAAAACCACTGGCAGTCTGATTTTTAGACATATTCCATAACTTGGGTCACCATGAAAGTTTTAACAAACACTGCAAAAAAAAGCAGATCCTTAATTACTCCGCTGTTGCTTTCCCTTCCGTTTTTAACAGATTTGCTCTGGTTCAAGAAAAGTGGGATAAAGTGAGGACACAAACTCTCATATAAATTCCACCTGCACTTGCAGCGTGGCACTAACGACTAGTGGAGCCGAGCTACACCCATCCTCAGCCTCATGTTCCATTTCAACCCTTTGCTGATGATGACTGCTAACATTTGTTTCCAACACCATTTTTAAACCTTTTTCCCATACAAAACAATCCTGACGTGGGAGCAGCACACATGACAGCTAAATCCCAAGGTGTATTTAAATGCCTATTTTTCACGCTCTTGATTTTTGCTGTTCATGTTCACTGAGTAGAATTCTGTCTTATCATGACTCACTCACCACAAATGCCAAGTATTTATGACAGCATCACTTACTGAGTGTTAGCAGAGTATCATCTCTGGCCAACACTGTTCCACAAGCAGATGCCCCTTTTGTTTTTATTTAAGATAGCCCCATGTCAAAATAAACCTTCTCATATATAGAATGCAGCATTTCTAACAGTGCTGTGTTGAGATCAGAAGCATCTATCTGTCAATCTGCAAGGAGGGAACACAGCTGGTCTTATGCTAGGTCAACACTCTAGCTGAAACACAGCACAAGAGAACAGACCTGGAGCATTTTTGAGAGGGAGCAAAATATGTTACAAGTCTTACAACTATGTTTTATACTCATAAAAGTGCAAAACAAGGTGAAAGGATGTTTAATACATCTGAGCATCCTGTGCTAAACTACAGGCTGTTTTTGAGTAATTGCTTTAAATATATGTTTCAGTAGGTAGAGTGGGTTGTCAAATTGCATCATTCCATTATACATAGACAAAACATTAGGTAATGCTTTTCTCTTGCAACACACAGTGTTTATAAGCTCCTACACAATCTAAACATTTATAAGCATATACTCCTCTATATGAATAAATAAATTAATAGATATATATATAAATAAATAAATTGTCCATGCATGCTGTACATCATGTCTATCTATAGACAATAACTTGCCTATATATCTAAAGCTACTCAGAAACTACGCAAAAAAAGACGAAGAGAATGACATGAAACTCAAAGAAAATCTTTCATTTACTTTTGCAAGTAGTAACAAATATATTAACAACAAGTTGGGGGAATTTGGGCTTTTCAGACTGGTTGTAGTGTCATATCCACTCCTTTTTTTTAGCTTTTATGAACCAGTCTTCAAGTCTGTTGATGAATGGGTTTCACTGAACTTGACCATGCAAAAAAACCCAACATACCACTGGCCCTGTGTGTCTGAAAGAATGTGCAATCAATAAACAATACATATTTTACAAGAATGAGACAATTTATGTCGCCATCATTCTGTAGCATACAGATGCTCACCAGTCAAAACTATGCAAGCAAACCAGGGGATGGGTTCAGTCTCCTGCTCCACTTGGAGACCCTTTTTCACACCAACTTCAAACAAAGTATGGACAAAGTGTTTTTGAGGGAAGAAGAAAAGAATCAAAGCATTTCCTTGGGTGTCTGCATCTCGACATTCAGATCTTAAATACTTTCTTTCTCTTTTTTTTTTTTCCTTGGATTTTCATTCCTTCATTCTCACTAGCAAACACAGGGGAAAAATGTGTTTCCTAAGAATGAAAATCCTGTAAAGTCCACCAAAGACTGTTTCTCTGCTCGCTCCCTCCAAAGGAGCTACCGAGGTCTACACATCTGCTCAGTAAAAACAGACTGCCAATGTGGAAAGAAAAGTGGCACGCAGCCAAAGAAACCCAACCTTCTTTCACCTAGGAGTACAATTTTAATACCTCGTTCATCACTTAGTCCCAGCTGTCCTGAGCTGTTCTTTCCCCAGCCAAACACAGCTCCTGAGAGAGACAGGGCAAAACTGTGGGCTCCACCTGCAGCAACCTGGGCCAAAGGGATCCCATCAAGAGACTTGACACGCTGTGGACTTGCTTGGGAGGGACACTCTTTCCCCAAGCCCAACTGACCATAGCTGTTCTGCCCCCACGTAAAGAACTGGCCATCTGAAACAAAGAAAGAAAGAGGAGAGTGAATAAAAGCTAGTCAACAGAAAAGCAAGTTTGTCAAACTGAACAAGTACTAGTGCTGGGGGCTTCTCTCCCACCCAAATCTCATGATGCAAAAAGCAAGCAAGACATTCTTTGCTAAAATATAAGCCCAGTCTGGAGCCACAAGGTAAATACACAGCTGCATAACCAAGTGCAAAATACCATATGAGAGTGCTGTAACTTAAGCTGTGCAGAATGGTCCACGTGTTGCATTCAGAAAGGGAACAGCCAAGGATAATTCTGACACAAAAGAAATAACTCCTCACATCTGTCTACAACGGCTGCTCCAAAAGTAATGCCCTCTTTCTTTTTTTTATTACGTTGGCCCACGATGTCAGAGGTAGATGTTGGTGGTAGGGAAGGAGAGGCTGAATCTTCCTGCCAATATTCCCTTACATTTTGTTGCTGCACAACAAATGGCAACAGAGGGGCACTCTGACAAAATGGGGCCTGACATGGAAGTGCAGATGAAGCAAATGTGAGGAACTGAATTCCTCCATGCAAAAAAAATGGCACCCACTGACATTCATCAACACTTGCTGAACGTTTATGGACACCAAACAGTAGATGTGAGCACAGTGATGTGAGCTGGTGAGTGGTGAATTTCAGCAGTGTCCACAGCAACAGTGAGTCAACCCCACTGGTGCAGACTTTTACAAGCATGGCATGCAGGCTCTTGTTTATTGCTGGTGAAAATGCATAGCTAATGGTGGTGACTAAGCTGAAAAATAGCGTTTTGAGACTGAAAATTTGCTGTATCAAAAGTATTATTGTGCTCCTTGTATCTGTTGGAGTTTCCATGAAAATAATTAGGAGGCATTATTATTTTCCATCAAGATGGAAAGCTGTTAAGTGTTCTTGCCATCATTCAACAGTGAGGCAGTGGGTAGCCTGTGTGTAATGTTTCCCTTTTTGACAGTATTGGCAACATTCTTCTACAATATATGTGGTACCTGATCTACTTCACTGTCTTCCATTTGTCCTGAAAACAGTTGAGATAGGGATGTCCCTGGAAATAGGCCATCTTGGACATGGAGCAAAACAAGAGCAGAAATCTTAGTAATAAATAATGAACATTACAGTACCTGCTGCCAAAGCCAGACAGTGCCAGTTTCCACAGGAAATCTGCAGTATGGTCTGTTGGTTCAGTTTCTTTATCAGCCTAAAGAAGATGACATTTTAGAATAATCATCAACAAATACAGTATCATGTTAGGTGAAATTATCATTTCCATTTGGGTATTTGTTCTAGACAGACATATAACCTGTCATTTTGAGAAGAGGAACAGAATCTTGGAGGTAACACTGATCACAGATGCCAATCTGCCATCTGAAGAGCTTTAGACATCGGACTACCAACTCCAACTATTTTTACTGCTAAAAAAAAGACTCTAGACATCTGAAAATGATGAAAAAAATCTGGTCTCTCAGCATCTCTCTTAATATTCTTTTTCAGGATTGACATTTTTCATGTCATTTGTCAGGAGCACAGAAGTTTCTAAGAGCTATAGCACCACAACCTCTTCATTGCTTTGCACAGAGAATAGCACATCAAGATTCAAGTTATTCCACAAAAATGTTATTTTTAAAATGGCACTATCACACTGGCTTCTGAGCCAGTCTCTCTTTTTTATATCAGATCTGCCAGCAAGTAACAAGTTTTCTTCTCAGAGAGCCCTTCAGATCAAACAAACAATTATGCTTTAGCAATTGGAACTCTTTTTCTTTAAATACTGTCCCACGAATGACAGCCACCCTAGACCCATGTCCCAGACCTCCTCTTCTAGCTCTGCACTGGATATATAGACGCAGCCAGAATAAGAGACAGAACACATCTGTTATTAATGCAGCATGGTACAACATCATTAACTACAAACAGACCAGTTATCTTTATTATGGTAGTGAACTGAGGTCTATAATCTGTGAACTGCTTTGGACGGAGGAGTCTTAGTCTCTGCCACTGGCCCCAACACCATCTACATGCACTTATTCTTAACACTGTTACTGCTCTGAGACTGGTAAAATGCATTAAGCAAGTCAGTGAAGAAAACTGAGTACTTCCCTAACATTTCTGAACAACATTCACTGTTCAGAATTGCAATGGGCTGCCTTAGCAGCATTGCTAATAAGCAAAAGATACAATACAAACCATGCAAGAATTCCAGAGCTGAGTCACCAGCTCACCTGCCCATATTTTTTGCCCATTCTTGAAATATGTCTCTTATATCAGAGATACAATGCAATACAAACATACCACACAGCATTTTGATTTTGGGGTTCTCCCTCATGTACCTCCTGTCCTGCAGAAAACACTGTCATATTTTTCATTGAGGAAGTCGAACTTGCTCTAACTTTCTTCTCTGTGCCTCAAGCACTGAAGATCAGAAGGGCTGTCCTAACTGTACCTCTTCAGAACTTGTCTAGTACTCAAGGAGCGCTGAGAGAGAAAAGGAGCATCAGGCTTGTACTGGTAAGTGGCAAGTGCCCAATTACCAGCCCTTTAAGCAAGAGCAACACTTCCACCAACTGCAGGCTGCAAAGTCAAAAACCCCTGATACAATACTTCCAAGTGGGTGCCGTAAGGAAACCCAAACCACTTGAAGGTTTACCTTGGTACTGTCACTGCATCTTCAATAGTGGTGAGGCCCAGCTGTCCATCGCTGCCTGCGCCCCAGGAGAAGACCTGGCCCTGGTCGCTGAGTGCCACACTGTGGGACTCTCCGCAGGCCACGTGCACTATGTGCTGCCCTGCCAGGGCTCCAATTGGTTCTGAGAAAAAACACAAAAACACTTCCATCACAGGACTCGTCTCATATCTACGTGCAGACGGCAGGTCTGTAATTCATGAGCAAAGCCATTCAGATAGGCTCAGTGATGCCCAATTTAGTTATAAAACACTTCCTACACAAGGAAAGCTCAAGACTTTACTGAAAATGAGTGGCTGCTGAGTTCTTCTAAAACCTTGACCTGTAAAATGTAGGATAAAGGCAGGTACACGTCCTCAAGCACAACAGTTTACACACAGCCTCAGTTACCTGGAATCAAACAGACTTTCCAAATTTGAGTCTTGACGTAAGGATCAGGATGGACTCTGAAGTTTAAAAACCCTGTAAAATACATTTGGCCTTCCACACCTCATACGCCTAATGAAGACAAGTCATCCAAAAAAGTTAATCAATCCAGTCTTCTCTTGCTTTACTTCTTGATGGATGAACATATTACAACACTCCCGGTACTAAGTTTAGAAGAGGCCCAACCCTATCAACTTACTACTATTTCTATCACAGTAAGAGGCTCACAAAAAAAAAGTAATGTAAAAAGCAAGAGGACCTTAGAGAAGAGTAAAAGCGAAAAATAAAATCTTCCTCTGGACGATTGCCCACAATTTATTTTTCATTATTATGTCATCTTAAGCAATAGAAATAGGTTTGACAACTAATCTTACTACATCAACAATCAAATTTTATTCATTATGCAGACTTTTTACAAACAGGCATGAAAAAGTCTTGTCTTTCAGCAAAGCTCTGGAAATAGCACACGTCTGATGGAAAAAGTCTTCACAAGCCAAACAGAAGAAAGATGGAATTTTTCTTCCCTGAAAAAATGTTTCAGGGTAGACAAAGAAACATTCACGCTGCGCTACAAGGCAATGATTAGTTTTATTAAAAGTCCCACACTGATGTTCCACTTATCTTTCTGTGAAATGACACCCCACATCAAGGGCACCTAGATATGTATCATTAACATACCTGGCACTAATTCAGCACACAGATCAACTTATGTGTCTTAAATCGATTTAAAGGGGACAATTCCTAGGCTAGGAAACTCCTAGGAAGATTTGCCTTCTAAGTCTGAAAGTGTGAAAATGGGAAGTAAATTAAAGCTTAAAACATGTTATGGGAGAGAAAGGGACAATTCTTTAAACACATATTTTCTACACAAACAAAATGCTACATCAACATGCACTTCCTTGCTCTCAATCAAAAGCCCCAGAGGCGCAGTTGATAGGCAGTGATCCCATAACACTCAGAAGGCCCTGAGTCTATTCCCTCCCCACCATCCCAATCATCTGCTTGAGGGCTGTATGAAGAGCATTCGCTAGCAAAGACTGAGACAAAAAAGTTGCTGAGACAGCCTTCTCCTTGTCTGTTGTTATGAGCCTGCCTGTACTGCTCACTGTACAGGGAATACATCTTCTTGGACATTCCTCTTCCAGTTGATGTACCTGCAGAAGCCTTTCTTGCTCTTCTTTGCCCCCACTTGTGAAGTCTAGCTTCAGTTGGGCCTTGACCTTCTTGACCTTATCCCTGCACAGATCAGCAGCATCCTTATACACTTCCCAGGGTACCTGTCCCTGCGTCCATGCCTGTGCACTTTCTTCTTGCTCTCCAGTTTGACCAGTAGGCCCCAGCTCAGACATGCCAGTCTATTTCCTTCTTTTCCCAACTTCCTACACCTGGGGATGAAGAGCCTTTCTGAACTAAGCAAAGCCTCCCTAAAGACCTGCCAGCTCTGCTTCGCTCCCTTGTCCTTGAGGACAGTTTACCAGGAGGTTTGGTTGACTAACTCGCTGAAGAGGCTGGAAGTTGGATTTCCTAAAATTTACTCTTTGTCCCATATCCCTCAGGATTGTGAACTTCACTGTGTGATCCCTGCAGCCCATGCAGCCTCCAATCCTGATATCACCAATCAGTATACTTGTGCTGGTGAGCAGCAGGTCCAGTATTGCAACCTTCCTGGTCAGGCTGTGCATTACTTCACTCAAGAAGTTGTCCTCAATGCATTCCAGGAGTCTCCTGGATTGCCTACAGCTCACTGTGCTACTTTCCCAGCAGATGTCAGGGTGGTTGAAGGCCCCCAGCAATATGTGAATCTGCAGTCAGGATATATCCTGTAGCTGGAAAACAGCAGCATCAACAGGCTCCACTTGATCAGTTAGCCTGTAGTAGACATCAACTACAAGGCTCCCTTTGTTGCCTTGATCTCTTAACTTTCACCCACAATTTACACATAAGCATCACCTGGTGGCCTGTTTTGTATTCATCTGCATATATAATTTAGGGATCCTATTTTTAAACATGAGCTCTAAACAACCAGCACCTTCAAGGACCAGTCAAGGTCAATCACAAACAAAAGACATCTCAAGAGCAAATGTGGCTACAGTCTCCTCCTCTCAGTGAGAGAGCTGGCTCCCTCAAACATGGAAAAGGCTGAGGTACTCAGAGTGCTTTGCCTCAGTCTTCAGGAGTGGTCATGCCTCCTATGTCTGCCAGCATCCTGAACCTCTAGGTGAGGGTGTGAGGAGTGGATTCTGTCCCACTGTAACAGTGGAACAAGTCCAAGATGTCCTCACGCAATTGAATGTATACAGATCCATAGGGCAGGATGATATTCATCCTAGGGTTCTGAGAGAGATGGCTGATGCGACTGCTGAGCCACTCTCCATCATATTTGAAACACCATGGCTGTCAGGTGAAGTCCCTGGTGACTGGAAAAAGGGAAACATTACTGCCATTTTCAAGAAAGGGAGAAAGGAAGACTCGGGGGACTACAGGCTGCTGAGCACCACCTTTGCTCATGGGAAGATCATGGAGCATGTTCTTCTAGAGGTATACATAGAAGCTATTTCTATTTCTACCATATATTTCATACATATCTTTTATTTCCAGAAGCTATGTTAAGGCACATAAAATACAAAGAGGTAATCCAAGATAGCCAGCACAGCTTCACCATGGGCAGATCATGCCTGACTAATAAGCTAACTTTCTGATGATGGACTGACGGCACCCATGGACAGGAGAAGGGCAACAGATGTCATCTCTCCGGACTTCTGCAAACCCTCTGACATGGTCCCTCACCCCCAAATTGGAGAAGTATGGATTTGAAGGATAGATTGCTCGATGGATTAGGAATCGGCTGGCTGGTCGCAGCCAAAGGGTTGTGATCAGTGGTTCTGTGTCAGGGTGGAGGCCAGTCACAAGCGGTGTCCCTCAGGGGTCAGTGGTGGGACTGGTGTTCTTCAACATCTTCATCAGTGACACAAATGATGGCATCGAGTGCACCCTCAGCAAGTTTGCAAATGACACCAACCTGAGCGGTGCAGTCGATACATTGGAAGGAAGGGAAGCCATCCAGAGGGACCTGGACAGGCTGGAGAAGTAGGCCCATGAAAACCTAATGAGGTTCAACAAGGCCAAGTGCAGGGTGCTGAACCTGGGTTGGGGCAATATCCTTGAGAGCAGTCCTGCAGGAAAGGACTTGGGGGTCCTGGTGAATGAGAAGCTGGATGTGAGCCAGCAGTGTGCGCTTGCAGCCCAGAAGGCCAACCGTGTTCTGGGCTGCATTAATAAAGGGGTGGTCAGCAGGGAGATGGAGGTGATAGAGGTGAGCCTCTGCTCAGCTCTTGTGCGACCCCATCAGGAGTACTGCGTCCAGGTCTGGGGAACCCAGCAAAATAATGACATGGAGCTCTTGGAATGGGTCCAGAGGAGGGCCACTAAGATGATCAGAGGGCTGGAGCACCTCTTCTATGAAGAAAGGTTGAGAGAACTGGGCTTGTTTAGCTTGGAGAAGAGAAGGCTCCGGGGAGACCTCATTGTGGCCTTCCAGCACTTGAAAAGAGCGCATAAACAGGAGGGTGAAAGCCTGTTTACGAGGGTGGATAGTGATAGGACAAGGAGGAATGGTTTTAAACTGAGACAGGGGAGGTTTAGATCAGATATTAGAAGGAAGTTTTTAACACAGAAGGTGGTTACACACTGGAACAGGTTGCCCAAGGAGGTTGTGGATGTCCCATCCCTGCAAGCTATGATTCTGTCAGAAAGACAGAAACATCATATCCACTACTGCACCTGAAAAAACTGGAGCACCTTGGGGAGATGGCAAAAGACTCTTTTGATGACCTTCCATCCCTTTCTTTCTTCAAAACATGAAGTGCTTTGGTAGTTGGTATAAATTTTTGTTATTTTCCAGAGTGTCACAGCATTATTATTCTCTCCTTATAAATGATGCATCACCGCATTCAGATGAAGGGTGCAACAAGTCAAGTTTTTTCTTGATATTGTGACTTCAGTATAAAACTGAGCAGAACAAAACCCTGGGAGCAACTAGAAAGGATTGCAAGAGATGTGCAATGGTGTTCCAACATGTCATAAAACTCAGAAAAACAAGTTCCAAGAAGTACGCACTGACCCAATCTTTTATTTCTGAAACCATCACCTGTTATAATATAGCACCAACACCCAGAAATCATTCATCAGTTCTTCATATTTAGGAGTTCCCATTTTCACTTCTTTTTTCTGTTCATTTTCTGTCAGCATAAACAGACACACCAAGGTTTGACTTCCATTGACCTCCGCCCTGTCAGATCTTATCAAAAATGGATAAAAAATTCAGATCTACACAAAACTCCTTCAGGACAGCACTATTCTGGATCATGACAAACATGGTTCCCAGAGCTATTTTCCTGCCTGTCTGTGGACTGCAGGCAAGCTCCATCCAGCAAAAGCTGGAAACAGGTGGTACACGTTTTTGTAAGACAGCTCTTGACAGCACTGGAAACTGCAGTAAAGCAAGGCAATGTCTGCAAAACCCTTGAAAAACCCATCTTCAGACTGTAGCTTCTCAATTTAGAAAAGAGGGCTTATACTTTGTCCCCATGATGTTGAAAAGCTATGCTACACGATCTTCAGTGTCTAACACACCTGGAAGCACAATGCGCTCAATTACATGGCACTGGTTTGGAGGTACAGGCAGTGAATTACTGATCA